AAATTTCTCAACCCAGCCCCTTTGCTGTTCCCCAGGCTCAATAGAAGCTGAGTTCCCATTGCTGGTATTTAACAGAAACCTCTCACCCCCACCCTGGAGATAATTTGAGCACAAACTGGTAAATCACCAGAACAGTAATACAGGAGACCTTATGGGAATACTTTCTCTCTTCCTTTCTCATACTAGAACTCAGAGGCTAAGCTGGAAGCTGCTACAGACATCTTCATTATCTCTAACCTAGCTTGGCTACACGAGATCCGGATAATCCTAAAATCTGCTCGCAGATCCACAACCAGTTTTTGACCTGAGTGCATTTGTCATGTCCTATCTACTCTGAGTCTCTAACTAGATTTCATCCTGACACATAGAAAAACAGTCCTCATAGGAACTTTTGGCTTAAACTTAGTAGCCATGGATATAATTTGGAAAATAAATATAACTGCTTAGCTGTGGCTTGCCTTTGTTTACATTGATTGATCACTGAAAACAAAGTGAAATTTACACTCCACAGGGCAGAAAACATTGCAAGAAAAGCAGCCGAGAGCAAGAGTTTCCATACACAGACAGACTCGAATTTTACTTTTTCATGAAACCAGAGTTTCTTAGAGTTGGTTCAGTGGTGATAAATTAAAGTATGAACGATGTGCCCACAGTTTCCAAGAGTCTCCTGTCAGAAACTTTTCTTTAAGGCTCTCTTGAAAGAAGTAGAACTGTTTTGCTTATACAAATAGGACTAAATCAAGAGTACATGTTGGGGCTTGCAGCCCAAACCTCTCTGCATGTGTCAAATCTGAATATATCTAATCAACACACTCTGAAAGCTGAGAAAGTTAATATGTACTTTCAGMCTCCAAACTTCTCCAGGTTTTGTTTCCTTCTAATTCATCTTGTATCTCTCTGAAAGGCACACAGATTTCTCAGCTCAGTATGTCCACTTTCATTATCTGAATTTATATGCAAGCATGCACTTATCAGAAGCAAAATTGGGGAAAGGGTTGTAACTTCACCATTAGCATTTCCCAGTTTACCTCAGGAGTCCCAGCTTTACAGTGTCCTCTCCTCTCCATCCTCACCACACGTTCACATTAAGGCTTTTACACTTCATTTGTAGGGCAGACAACTTTTCAGAGCTCAGCTGAGCTTTCACGCTGCAGTAGACCATCTGTRAAATATAATAACAAAAATTTCCCACATACGTCATAGAGACTTGATGATGAAATAGAAGACTCACTTGATGACGAAATAGAAGACTTCCTTCTCATGGCTCCTCTGAAATTATCAAAATTTTCAATACCAACCTTAAAAAAAGAAAATAGCTTGCTCCAGCCACACATGTGGAGAATGCCAATGACATTAAAAGAGCAATTAATATAATTAATTTTTGTTCATATGTTCTTTTTCTCTTTTAAAATATACGGTGCTATTTATATGAGAATCATAGTGTGATAGTTTTCAMGATAGAAACTTTTTTTTAAAGGGAAAGGGAAGAGGAAAGGTAATAGAAAGGGAAAGAAACCCTGAGAACTGTATTTAGCCAGGCAAGCAAAGAATAGATCAGATCCATCTAAATATTAGTCATAATCTTGTTGCAAAAATTTGAGAGTTTTTTCAAATGCAAAGTATAATTGTAAAAAAAAAATGCCAAAAGACATATAAATGGCATCCTTGCCATGTTTAGGAAAGATAGTTTTGATTTGTATATAAAGTACTACAATATCAAGTAATGTTCAAATACTAAACAGGAACATCCTTTACTTACAGAACAAAGGGCAAGCTGACTTGATAATTTTCAATAAAATTAAACACTGGTTAGAGTCTAAAGAGAGACTTAACCTATTCTTTGCCACTGACAAATATTAAATCTTTTTCACTGGGAACTTTCCAATAAACTATAGGTGAGCGGAGATGTTCACCCTTACACTGCACTTCATGCTGCCAAGGAATGGCTGTGAACCATTATAAAATCTTTATAATCCTTCTTTAAATGTCTTTGTAAAACTCTCTTTGTCAGAATGTCTATAAAACCACAGTGATAAAACTGCCGAGCCTATACGGTCTTGCTCATGTCCTCATTTGACCCAACTATTTCTCTGTAATCCTGTCATCTCTGGGCTTGTATTTCTGATTAGCAGCTCCTTGAGAGGCAACCTGTTGTTCAAGGCTTGCATGATCTATAGGGTTATAGGTGTCTAAGGAGAATTTTAACACAAAGAAATAATAATGAATAATTTCAACTATCCAATAATGACTATTACAGCAGCCAAACGTATAACACGTAGAAAACAGAGGCATCAGCATCACATGTCTCCTGGATACCTTTAAGTACAGCATCAGCACCATAAAGAACTACACCTGGGCCAAAGTGCAGAAAACTTAAAACACATTTGTGTCACCTGATACGATAGTCTGGCTGTTATCTATAGAGATTAAAAAAAAGAATCCAAAGGATTTCATGGAATACCATACAAGATTGAAGAAGACAGAGAGGGCCTGATTTCCACTGCTTGCAATCACTGGTCACTACAGCACTGTCCAGCCATGCTGGCAGAAACCTGAGCCTGGCAGCACTGTGTAGAGACCAGACAGGTTGGGGAGGAGGGACTGAAAGCATTTCCCTTATTGAACACTGCATGTTCCCTTATTGAACACTGCATTTTCTGGCCAATGCTTCTGTGCATCAGCCAGAAAATACAAAGATCAGAGCTACACTGTTCAGACCTTGGTATCAGTCATTGCTTGATAATTGATATACAAATTATTCCCAAAGAACTACTGGAGTTATTGAAAAAAAAATGCTATTAAAAGTTCTTAATAAAAAATGTCTCAAGCCATCTACAACCTTGAACTTTCATTGCCTTTGCAAAGGCTTTTCATGGAAAATATTCCTTTAGGAGCAATTGCATCACTGCTTTATTTCAAGTCATCCAATCCTCAGAGATCACAAAGGAAAACTCATTTTGCACACTGATTTCTTGACAGATTTCAGCATCCATCAACTGCTGCCCTAGCAGCTTTCAAAAACTGATGCATATTAATGAAAAAATGTTGCTCATTTTTCACAAAGTGGGCAGATGCTGCAAGACCCTGGTGACAGACTGTGATTTCGGCAGTCTTGCAGAATGGCTCCCCATCAGGGTTTAGCAAAGCTGGATCTGAGGAAGTGGTGCTCAGGACCCTGTTGCAGCTGGCTGGCAGAGGGTAAGGGGGGAGGAATGGCTGTAGGAAAGGTAGAACTGTTTTGCCTCTGAGAACATCACTGTTGCTGTTCACTTCACACTGTTCTATGTATCTAGCGTGGGGGAAGATAATAACCAGCTGACCTTTAGAGTGAGTTTGGGATCCTGTGCTGGTTGCCTCTACCAATTTCAGCAATACCAACCCCAAATTTCTGTGTCTCAATCAAGCAGTAGACTAGAAGCTAAATGTTGTGGGCTGCAGGCACTAGGGGAACAGCAGTGCCCATAGGTTAAAAACAATGCTGAGCAGAAGCATCCTACGGGGCGGATTTGAACCACGGGGCTGTCGATTGTCCTTTTTATTCCTCCCACTCACAGCACAAAGTGGAACTGGAGGACAGAGACGCAGCTCCCAAGTCTGCCTTGACTCACCACACTGTTCCTTCACTTGCATTTGAATAAACTGCAGACTTGTGTTTGCAAGTTTTTATGCCAAATGAGCTACAGCTACACTGCTGGGTTTAAACAGTTTACATGATACCAGTACCACTAAACTCCTCAGCGGTGGGGGGGAGGGAGGGAAAAGCATCAAACTGAATTACGCAGAGATGCAAAGCTTTTCTACAGAAGTTATCCGGTCAAGAACAATGCAGTGTGGTCCACGGCATTGTATTAGGTGATTTCCTACGCAAACCTCACAGAGTTATTTTTATATCACTTTCCTGTGAGCTACGCAAAGCTTGACGCTACTATTAATTTAACACGGTGGTAAAAAACAAAGAAAATGACTAGTACTGGCTTCTTTTCCATTTCAGAAGTCTGAACCACTGATTAATGCAATGTCACTTCTCTTTCTGAGAGTGAAAGGTGACTGTAGTCCCTGGACACAGAATTCCTGAACAGGAATGTACTCCTGATAGTCCTTGAGCTCACAGTGTACATCAATACTATCAAATATCTTTTGCAGTCATTACAGCAATTTGCTCCCTTTGATAGAGATATAGCCCATTCAGCCTTAAAATATGATCTAAAATAAAACAGTGGAAATAATCTGGGCAGGCAGATGCTAAAACCTAAGAATGACGTGATGCCAGCACATAACGATGGCCGCATCCTTTTATTGCAGCAACAGTTAGGCAGTTGAGGGRATTTAAGTCAAGTATTGGCCTGCAGCAGACTCCGGAGCCTGGACACAGCAGCCTTTCTGGGTAGGGTCAGGGCATCTTCCCTCCTCCTCCTTTTCCACCTACTGCTCAGGTTGGAAGGAGGAGAGCGAATGCGACCTGAGCCTCTCGCAAGGCACGCACGCTGTTGCCCGGGCTCTGGCTCGGCACCACACGCACCGGCTCCCCCAGCGCTGCTCGCAGTCCCGCTGCCGCGAGCCCCGGCTGCAGGCCCCGGGGCGCCGGGGGGATCGCGGCTGAATGGGGCAGGCGAATCC